TGTTATGTTTTTAAGACTTTTTTCGCCGATTTTTTAGAGCGTTACGTATTGTATAATTATGAGGCTAATCCGCGGCTTAAAAAAGATAAGTAATACGTCACGGAATAATCTCGAGATTTTAATTCCCATATTAATGCTAAATCGCCATAAATATTAATTCCTTTTATATGCATCGCCAGTTTTAAGTCGAGCGCGCTGTAAATCGGAGATATACTTCCCTCTCTCCGACGCGCGAAGTGATTAATACGCATTGAAGATGATACATTGGCATACATGACTATCATTCTTCATTATTGCCAATAACGATAAATCGATGCAGATAAGATTATTTTTTTTTTCAAATGAGTAAGATACTGCAGGATCTACCAAAGCCAGTCAGAACGACTGCCGTTTGTAATTTTCTATCAATTTTATAACAGTACATCTTCCGTGATTTTTTATTGCAATATGTAAATGTTCAATTTATTCTCTCTCTTTACCACTTTCTAAAAATACATAGTATATTTAGGTAGTAGAAATAGATATACGTTAGTCATCGACGGTTCTATAATGTTAAAAACGTGGTAACGTTAGCTAATATTTTTAGTATACACTGACACGTATGTCTGACACATATCTTCTTTTACATCGCGGTAGTTGAAAAATCACAAAAAGATGGGAAATACCCGAAGGACCTTTTCGATCTCATCTTTCTTTTGCGTAACGCAGATTGGTGTCACAAGTGTAATTTTTTACGTCTCCATTGTTTCAAAGCAGCCAAGTCAGACTCGACTCTTATTTATCATCGTCTTTTATCTCGTCTCGTCTGTTCATTGAAACTCACAGCATGTGTTCTGCATATTTTCAACTTTTGGTATACTGGCTGGCACTGTCGCTCTCGAGAATGATTTATAATTAAGTGTGAGTAAATTATGATCGACGCACAAACGTGGCCACGGCAATTATGCCGAAGTGGACGACACACAAAGGCTCTTGTCCGGGGAGTGTCGGGCATCCTCGACAATGACCTCTTCTCGCTTAAAAAATCGCGACCCCGTTACTGCGCCGCATTTACTCTACATTCATATAACGTTATTATATTGTTCATTCGCCGACCGCGTGCGATGCACGCGACATTCGCTCTCGTCATGCGATGCAAACGGCGTTTTCTCGGTGGAAAGTTTCCGCGCGGCGCGGCGCGGCGTTCCGCGGTTTTGCACGCGCGATTTTCTCGAAATGCCCCGCTCGAGCAGGAGCGCGATGCGCGCGATGGCGGCGCAGCTAACGAAGGGAAAATCAACGGGCGGTCGCGGCATTATCTCTAATTGAATAATATCGGACGCTAAAACGCGCCGAGTGTCACAGTCCGGTGGCAATGACGACCCGGTCGTACTACGGTGCACGGTGCACGGTGCACGGTGCACGGTGCACGGTCCCTCTCTCGCCGTTGCTTCCCGTTCCGCATCGTTCCAGACCGTCTGTTTTTCCGTTCGCAATAATTCGATCGCAATATTCGCGCGACTCGATAGATCACGAAGCTGCAAATATTCCTGCCGCGGAATCAATTTTCGCTGATTTTTTTCTGGGCTCGGCTTATAGAGATCTGGTGATCTATTCGAATACGAATTCGAACTTCTATGATTTGAATCCAAATTATTCGAAAATTTCGAATCTAGATGATTAAAATACGAATCATATATATTGTTAAATTTATAAAATTAAATTTAAGAGATTTAACCCCCTACTATCTTTTGGCAATTTAGAAAATATTCGGTGAATAGGAACATCGATTTTCATTGAAAATTTGAATGGTCGTAATCGCTTAATTTTATTATACATTAAATGATTAAATACGTGATGTGGCACGTATATAAATAATTATATATATATATATATATATATATATATGTACATATGTGTATTACATGTAATAAAGCTGCGTGCACGGCGCGAGTTGAAATTAAAAATTGAATCTGATGCTTTTGTAATTGAGCGGAGCGCAATTTTTCCGTCGGCTCCGCCACTTTACTCTCGCGGAGCCTTTCGTTTGAAAAATTGTTATAACGGAAAAGAATTCCGCGGCACGCCAATGGACGCCACCGGCGGCGTTTCACCTGCGGCAAAAGGATCGCTTTTATCGAATCTCCCCGTGCGCTTTCTCCTGACACGCTCGGAATAAAATGTTGTTCCAACGCGCGTGTAACGTAAGGCTTCCTATACGCAAATTACGCCGACAGTGGCACCATTGTTGTCCGTGGTTTATTTGCATGCGATTTTCGATGGCCTTTTTCCACCCAGTCGAGTCGGCCGGCGCGGTCACAGTTCGATTGCGGCACGGATCTCGATCGGTGGCGGAGCCGTGCATGCTTTCTCTCGACGTTACACTCGTCGAAGTAAGAGACACGGTATTTTTTCCCCGAGGGTATAATCGTGACGACTTAAATGCGAGAAACAGCTTCAGCTGTTTTGACATTTACGCCTTTCGCGTGAAAACGAGATTTCTCGGTGCGAACCGTTTCGGAGGAATCACGTGAGTATCACGAACGATTTTGCGGAATCACGCGTGATGAAACAACAAACGGATCGCATCATCCCCGGAATAATGGACTCAACGTATTCCAGGAAATCGCACGCGATTCTGGATAGACATTCGATCATGTCGCCTTGATTAAATATCGCTGAAGTCGATGTGCCTCTTAGTCATCTGCTTCTGATTAGGTCTTTCTCCATGCACGTGGGATTTAATAAGCACACACGTGTTCAGTTCCACGTCATTTCTTTATCTGCACCAGTCGGTCTCGTGCGAAACGTTGACACAACTCATTCTATTTAAAAATAGTCTTTGGAGCGCTGTTCGTAATAATAGCGGTCGTTTGCTATATTTAGTTTACCGCCGGATTATAAATATATCATAATTAAAAAGATATCTCAAGGAAAGCGTTTGAGGCGCAATGACGTTTCTCAGCTGTCTTTGATTTATAGATGTGCCTTCTCTTGCAATCATAGTTATCACTTGCATGCATTTCGCAATTGTTTGATCGTGCACGCTTAATGATCACGGAGATATTAAGAGCTCATAATACATCTTAAGCGCTTTATTATTGTATCTTAGATTATTACCTGACAATAATTGTTCATAAACTATGTGTTGCGCTCTTAATTATTTGACAATCATAAATCAATTGCCTTCTTATCGCGGTAACATTTTAACAAATAATTAACGTCTAATAAATATTAACTTTCCGCGGTCCCATGTCGAGTTGGACTCTATATAATTGCGGTTAGCCTGTCACATAATTCTTCAAACATTGGAACCTGTATGTGACTATAATCGACAAACTACATTTTTCTCCATAAAAATTCTTTTATTTCTAGATTGAATTTACTGCAAATTTCCAGTAATTCTATTCCTTCAGTTCAAAGTAGAATATTTACAAAACATGTGACCACCAAAACCTTTAACGTTAAAGTTAATTAGTATCTGTTTTTCATTTTCTGTGTCTCATCAAAAATCTCGTTGTCAAGCCGTCCTGTATATAAAATCAATCGTTACAGGATTGCACGAGCTATTTGCATAATGATCGATCTAAAGTGTCGCTTAAGACGCAGAAAGCTTTTTTGTTGCCCCAGAAAGTCGTCACTTCGCCGGCGATTATCTTTACGATCATCGATCTTCTATCGGCATGGCAATCGAAGATCCGTGACGTTTGTAATCATTTATAGAATTAATTTGTTCGTTTTGTATGCCTAGTGGCGCCAGTCCGACTCGATTTGTAATTATAAAGAACGTTTGTGTGACGTTCGCAAAGATCCGAACGCCACGATGGAATCTGCCACGAGCGCGAGGAAAAATCCTGTCTCTCAAGATCAACAACAGATCCAAGCTATATTCATGTCGGAATTTAATTTGTCACTGCCTCGTGGAATAGAGTACAAACGCAGTATATTTGCATTCGATAAGCAGACACATGTGTTACAACGTATTATTTTTTTTGCGGAGACCACTTTCGAGGTTTGAGCGAAGGATCGCGTTATTTTTTTTTCGCGAACAGCGGCTTACGAGAAAGACTTTAGCGTGCACTTACCTACCTGTCCCAAGTTGCTATCTCTTTTTCTCTTTCCCGGTTTTCCTTTTTCTCGCTCAACCTGCGCCATTCTACCTCCTCTCTTTCTCTCTCTTTCTCTCTCTTTTTCTCTCTTTCTCTCTCTTTCTCGTTGTCCCTTCTCTATTCCGCCTGCCGGCTCGGCTCGCTTTCGAGCTCTAAGTAACAGTACTTGCGTTTCCTGTATCTCTAAATTGGCAACGCGAGCCAAGGCAGCGCGTATAGCGGCGAATCGAACTGTATCGAAAGTCAGGATATGCCCCGGAGTACGTGGAACGGAGGCTATCTCGTACGCATTGCACATGCCGACGTTCGAACGTAACTAGAATGTTGTAACAAAATATGTACATACGTGGGTATGCGCATGCGAGATCAATCCTAAAGTGACATACTTCGCTGGAGTCGCGCGCGGCATACCTCTCGTCGTGTCGTGCGAGAAGCGGCATTTCTGAGCGTCTGATTATGCGTCAATGTCCATAATGAACCGTAGAAAGTACCGCGCGCGGAGACATCGCGGCATTAGCGTGACGTTACTTTCGACGTCGTAGCTCACGAACATCATCCGCGAGGAGCTACCCGCGATGAATTACGGCTTCGTTCCACGAAGAATCGAAATGCTGGACTCCCACTGTTGAATTACACTCAATTTGAGTCAATTTTAATCATTTCTACAGGTCGTCGCTGTTCCTACACAATATGTCGTTAATTTAAGTGAACCGATTAAGTTGAAATAATAAATTTTGATACACATGGTAGTTAAAAATAACAAAAAGTTATTTAACTCGAGGTATCGGTTTAAATTTCATCCTTCAATATTTAACACTGCCGTCCCAGGAATAAAAAACGTTTCAGCAACGGCTCTAGCTCTAACAAAGTTCTGAAATTAATTGAGACCAACCCCTTTCACGCTTCCCGCAGGTGAAGGCTGCGTCGAGAAGCCCGTGTCGACCCTATGGCGGAACTATGTAACCAGCAGCAGACCCGACGTCTCCATGAGGCTGACAGTGACCAACGGCGGGCTGACCGCGACCACCAAGGACCACGGCCTCACCGAGTACTGGGCTCACCGTGTGACTTATTGCACGGCCCCGGCCTCTCACCCGCGACTGTTCGTCTGGGTGTATCGGCACGAGGGCCGCAGACTGAGGCCCGAATTGAGGTGTCACGCAGCACTGTGCAGCAAGGAGTCTACCGCAAGGAGACTCGCCTCGATCTTGAATACCAGGCTGCAGCAGGCGCTCATGGAATTCCGTCGGGACAAGGTCTCCAGGCAAAACGCCAGGTGAGAGCAGCGGTATCACGCCGCTAAAAGTAAACTGCGACCTAAGCGAGCTGTGGAAAGGTAGCGCTTACTTCAGCGGCGCGTACAAAGAGTTACTCGAGAAATTTAGAGACGAATTAAAAGAACGTAAATTTCATTTCTCGACAACAATAGATAAGTAAGTACAAACGGGAGTCACGGGTTAGCGGAAATCGTTAACGGACTTTATCTAAGATTGGCAAACAATTAGTGGGAATTGGCAAGTGCTACGGGATTAGCGAGGTATTGTTCGGTATTGTCGGGTATTAGAGTTAGGAGAAAATTATAGGACACACGTTACAAAGTACTACATTCGCATTTATGTTCGCTGTTTATGCGACGTGCTAGAAAAGATTTGAAATCTCTTCTCGTCTTATCGATTTTAATTACTTGAATATCATCTAAATATGCATTATATCTTTATGACGTATCTGCTTTGGCTTTAACGGCTCTTGTTAAAACTGGACCGGCCACGATTAATCGCGCGCGGCACAATTTCTCAAACTCGTAGAATTCTCCGAGTTTCCGTTAGGCTCATTTCAATGTCGGGCAGCGGCGCGCACCATCGCGCGCATTCCTCGCATTTTTATCGTCCCACGTTCGGGTTATATCGTCGTTACGTCGGTCATGCAGGTGCTTGCCTCCCCCTTGCCTTAATCGGGAGAAAAGAGAAATTTCCCCATCTTGGGTCTTTGCGAGAGGTACGCGCAGTTACGCACGCGCTCGCGCATCCACCGTGGAAGTCACGATTCCGGTCACGATTGTAGATCGTTATGTGCGCGATCGAGTCACGATCCAGGACGGGAAGCGATCGGCGATGTGCATTCGGGTCAGTGTTTCCAAGTCGCAGGTCAAACATACCCTGGCACTTCTGCCGGAATTGCGCTAACACGTCTAATTTACTACTTTCTTTATCGCATTGTCATTCAGGAATTTATTTGCTAGATAAAGTACAAATAGAAAGAATTGTCAAGTTAATGAGTTATACAATTTTTATTATTTAATTAATTAAAATTAAAATTTATTTTTAATTATTTCATAAACTATAATTTTATATATGATTCTTCAGATATAAAAATCAGCAAGGAGTAGCATCTCGTAAGCAAATCCATAAATTACCACGGGAAAGATAATTAAAAATCTTTTCTCTTTTTCACACGTATTAAATTTTCATTACTTGTTTTATTAAGTCATTAGAACATTCATTAAGTACATTGGCATAATTTGAATTAATTAGCACAGTTCACACGAATCGTTACAGGTTGTCTCTGGCGAGCGCGTTATACGACAACCCGTCGTTGCCGCGTAGGAAGCTCCTCTTGAGCACCGGCGGCCAGAACTACCGGCCGCCCTTGGAGAGGTCGAAGAGCGCGCCTAAGCTGTCGGCGATCGAGGAGGACACGGTGGCCGAGGAGATAGAGCAGAAGAGGCTGCTGGAAGAGCTGCGTTCCTTGGAGAACGTAGCGCGTAGCTGGGAGGACCAGGACAGCTGGAGGATAGCCAGACTGCTGGACGCCCTCAATCGCGAGTCTGACGAAAACGGTAGCATCTCCAGCGGATGCGAAACCGCCAGCACGGCGACCAGCGAGGAGAGAGCCACCTGCCCGGAGGAGCCGCTCCCGCAGAGTTAGTATTCGCAAATTATCGCTTATTATTCGTTTACCATTTCGAAACTTAACGCAAAGTTCCGACAAACCCTTTTTTAAACACACCTTTTTCTTCGATGATGTAAATGCACTTTTATTAATGCACGGCAGTCTTTAAAATTTTCCTCAATTTTTTGTGTCGCGAGATATCACGCGAGGATGGTTACATAAACGCGGTGAGGTGGAGATAAAGCCTGTTTTTGTATCACCTTGTGATATAATTAAGGTAGATAAACTACGCGTAATTTATTCTAGCACGGGTTTTTTTTACGCTATTTTAGCGCTACGAACAGATAAGCGAGCTATAATTATTTAACGTCGTTAATCGTCAAGCTTATAAAACGACAAACGTATAACAAATTTTTTATGTCGTTCGTATCTTTCCATAGCTTTTTATTTACTCCCCTTTGGGATATTTTTGTATTTGAGACATTATGTTTCTATTTTTGTGAAGTTTTATTTAGAGGGATATATAACGACAGGGGTTTCGGTATTTGCATAATTATGTCGAAAGGGCAGTTGCCCGACAAGTCGTACCAGTTGGTGCGTGACATATAAAGTTATAATGTCACTTCTTGGTAAGTTGCTTACCTTTGAAATATGTTTTCTAGATCAAAACGATCAGCGGGGGTCGACCAAAAGAGTTATCTTCGTGAAGGACCGAGTCAGCAGGGGGCCAGGGCCGCGAAGGAACTCGGAAGGTTCGGCGCATTTTATGACGTGCGCCGGCAGTCCTCGTTTTAATCCTATAGATCCCATGAAGAGGTTTCCCTTGACGAGCGAAGAGGATGAATCGATGGAAGAGGAAGAAGAGGAAATGGAGGACACCACTTCAAACGTGTTCGATTTCGAGGATGTCGAGGATCTCGATGATGTAGTGGATTATCGACCGAGGGGAGAGATGTTGAACAGGATTGAGGATCCGCAGAAGAGAGAGAGGCGAGTGAATGAGAAGTATCCTGGCAGGATAGGTCATGAATTTCTGCAGAACGAGGAGACTTCATTCCTAACTCTGGATTCTCTCGACGAGGAGGCCGACAGCGACGAGAGCGGTTACGTGGAGGCGCCACCAAAGTCTTTACTAGGTCAAGACGACAAGAAGGAGGAGGAAGAGAGCGAACATCCGCGATTAGAGCCATTTACGAATAAAAGAGAGGACAAATCAGAGTCAGCGACAACGTATAGAACTGACGGAAGCGAGAATCAGAGGACGAAACACGAAGATTCTAAAATGGAGCAGGAGGAGAGAAAAGCGGAGAAGAAAGATCCCTTATTGGTGGTCAACGATAATCAAAGGGTCAAGGAGAGGGAACGGGAGAGAGTGGACTTCAAGTATCCCATTTCGGAAACTATCAGAAAGTTAGCTAGCGCGTCATTAAGGAATTCCAAATCTTTCGAAATGACGAGCAACAATTGCTTGAACGTCCTAAATAATTTCAAAACCTCCAAGTCATTCGACAGCGTGAAGAACGACGAGATTACCGTGGATTCGCCGAGTCTTCACCAAAGGAAGCAATTGTTGGCACAGCGCGGTGTCATGGTTTGAAATAGTCCCTTTCGAGTTGAATATTCTTCCGATTCTATATTACGAATTGAACGGAATCAGTGAATAAATATTTATTTGTTATTAAGTTATTACGAACCATAAAAATGCTTATAATTATGTTTCATGAAAATATCGAACCTATAAATAAGAGCGTAAAATTAATATACAAGCTAATATGTGCCTGATTAATAGATTTATTAAATTGTATCGATTCATCAAGCAAAAATAGGATTTTGTTGCAAATATTTATCATGGAGTCATTTTCCTTATTGCTCGTAGCGCTCAATCTATTTAATAGATTAATTCGATGATAAATGCACTGGAGTTCTGTCAAAGTCACATTAAACAAATCTATTTAAATAATATCGAAACAACAATTAAGATATTGTTCAAATAATTTGCAAGATTTTGAAGAGTTCCACTTGAATCTTAAATGCAAGACAAAATATTACCACCGAGTTAAACAAACACTCACAATCAGTGTCGGAATTCGACTTGAGCGCAATATTCTAAGCCATTCTAAGGGATGTGGTTTTTCTAGATTGGTTTCTTGTGACTTTGCAGAAAAATTAATATTAAAATTAACGATACATTAAGATTTATTAAAAAGTCGTCCAGCTAAATCAAATTTGATATAAAATGAAGCAAATCAGATTATAGTAGAGAAATCACTAATAATTTCCAGATAAACTACTATAACGACAACATTATTGCTTTATTCTTTAATAATACAATTAGAAAGGTGTTTTTTTACCATGCAAAATTTCTAGTCCTTGGCATTATATCTACAAGTTGACAAGGAAAATATATACCCATACTATACATAAATATATAAGGTAGATGTGAAAATCTTGGGATTATTGAATCTTTGATATTCGTATCCATTGCGTATTGCTGAAGTTGAAAAATAAAAACAGTCTAATAGAATACAGTTTAATAGAACGGGCTTTATCAAACAATGCAATCGGTAGAACTGGAATAAAATCAACTCGTACAAGTATAGAAATTGTAGTCTTGTTCAAGTACAATGAGCTGGGTAATTTAGCAATATGATTTTTCGTGCTGTTGATATTGAGCTTCTATAAACAACATTTGAACGTGGAAGTTTTCGAAGATTATTTGCAAAGGGACTGTTCATTGAACCATTTAAGGTGTCAGCAGAGCATCGTGTCTTATTGGTTATGATGTTAACGAGTCGACGAAGTTAAGTTTGAAATCTGGTGGAATAGAAGATGTAAATCATAGGAAGTATATAATTAAGTAAAATTAAGTGGCCACACGCTTGTAAATATGACTTTTTACGAGGTGGAAATCGACGATACATCATTGCTCGTAATATTATTATTACGAGTGAGAACACAAATGAATATATATTGTAGAATACGACTTTGGTTCGTATTGCGTCCGCTTATCCGTGAACATTCCAACGCAAATCGTCCTGGACCCCTATTCTGTAACTCTAACGACAGTGTCGGTATCGTTATGTCGTCGTTGCGCAGCTTTTTTTCCATATAGTATACCTGCGCAACGACAACGTAACGATACCGACACTGTCGTTACAAGTTACAGAATAGGGGTCCTGGTAACGATCGAAGACTACTCTCAAGATACGAATACAATACGTCGTCGTTATTCAAGACATTCGATAATACGTTTGTTCGACTATTAGTCCAGGTTCATCGCTTTAATGCGACGTGTTAAGTTCATTTAAATGTAAACGCAATGCATCCACCTTTCATGCATGCTCCATTGTAAAAACTCGCGGTAATTTGTTAGATCAGGGACAAACGTCGTCGCCTTTCATTTTTTTTCCTACCATAGATTACCGTGAAAAACAATTTAGTGCGTAGTTAATGTACTTCGCTCGACAATAAGTGCACGTCCGCGTCATTTTGTCAGTCTGTAGGTTATTACGACAAAAAATTAAAATATTCCGTTGCAAACCAATCTTCGGTAATGACACACGTTATCGGTAACGACGACGCTTACTCGCGTATAATATATAGCTCGCGTCATCGTCAAGACGAATATTTCCGTATCGAGCATGCTTGTCGAGGATTTCGCCGCCGACGCGCAACTCGAGATGCATTTTGTGCCAGATTACGGCTGGAGTCTATTGCGACGATCGTTGTGTACGAAAGAGAGAGAGATAGTACCAATAAAATGAAGGAAAACTCGAAAAGTCGGAGTTTTCTAAATCCGTCCCTCCCGCTCCCTGACCTGTGAACCTCGGAGTCGCCTCTCGCATCAACGTGTAAAATTGCATCTGGGGCAGTTCGTGATCAGGACGAGTCAGCCGATAATTACGGATAGCGTGCGCCGATGGCAGAAAACGCAAATCGCGATTTTTAAGGTCGTCTTAGGGGCAGTAGGTCGGACGAATAGAACCGTGCGATCGACGATCCTGATCGATTTTTCGCCATTTATTTATATTACTTTTCGGAATAAAAAAAATGTGTGCATTACAATTTGTATATATATTTATAAAAATACATATATTTTTAAACATATATACATAAACACATTTTTATTTATAAAAAATAAATATATGTGAAGTGTATATATATAAATATTAAATATTTTTCTTTAATATTCTTATACACTTTATGTATACCTACATTTATTTTTTGCAGTTATGCCAAAGATTGATAAAAAGAGAAAAATTTTCACACGTTGCTATGGTTCATACAAGTTGTAGATATAAATATATACAAGTGCAATAAATATTAGAGAATAATTTATATACAAATGAATTTTAGAATATGTTTCGTGTAATATTAAATAATAAGTAAGATGATTGGCGTAGATATGAGAATTTAACAATAGCAAAAATGCGGTCTTATTAAATTTTCGCTAAGAAGAAAGCAGTTTTAGATTCCCCACAGAATTCATGATCGAAATGAAATAAGCGACATCCGTATAAGATATATAGCGCAGAAAGATAATGATAATAGAACTTTCTTTTATGTGTTACTTAGCTCTTCTTCATATACATAAATTTTCTGGTATGGTTCGATCGCGAGAGATGGCGGCAGTTATGTTTATAGTACAGGCAGATGATTAAAAAAAATGATCGGGAAAGGAAGGCTAAATTAGGTCATAAAAATTTCAGATTCGTAAAGTGCGTGAATCAATTAACGACAAGATAAAAACTGTGCATTATATATTTATTAATTAATTATTCCATTATTTAACATTTTTTCTTTATCAATAATTTAATATAATTTTATATAATAGGATATGGGACGCGTCATATAGAATTTGATTTTTTTATACAATAATAAAACAAGTAACGTACCTAAATAAAAAACGAGTCATAAAAATGTAGAGAATTACGTTTATTATATTAATAATTTTAATCCGATTCGCGCGCGATTATATTACATCCACATCTTTATCAAAAATAATAATTAATTGAATCGATATCCTTATTCATTTCTAAAGAATATTCTTTATAATCTAGCTGTCTCCTGCATAACAATCGTCATATATTTATCAACTTAACGCAACCCATTTACACAAATGGTAAAATCTTTTAAATTTCCTTTCGCTCTTCTTCAAGATTTCTTTAAACGCAACTTAGACACGCTTTTTAATTAAACGCGGAAATAGAAGTCATATTAAAAAGAGAAAAAATAAATTTTACGGCTTTTCGAACCACAGCCGCGGGTTCCGACGAAAATTACACGCATAATACGTGAAAACGAGAGACGCCAGACCGTCCGCATTCTCCCAGCGGCGTCTGCCCGCGAGGCGGGCCTTGCGCGGAGTCAAGATCAAGATCAAGGTGCCATCAAGGTGGTGACTGCCGGACCCACAGCCAGGCTCCGCCGTGAGTACGATAACGCTTCGTGCGCGCGCGCTCGCTGGTACGCGCTGCCACAATATCCTCTCGCTAACACCAGCACGCATCGGTGTGACCTACTAACAATAAGCGTGAAGACACGGTGCGACGTACATACGTACGTACACACATCGCGGTGAGCGTAAGATGAGGAAGGCAAAGTGCGAAGGGGGGGCAGGGATCCCCGCGGCTTCTTCATCTTGGGCCTCATCTTGCGCGGGACCAGCGCGGGACCGTCTCAAGCTGGACCGTAAAAATAAAAAAGGCGCCTTCGCGAAGATTATTTGCATCCCAATGGTGTTAGCGCGACGAACGATGCGAATCAAATCGCAATGAAGCATTCTGAGTTCTGATGAGGATGAGAGCAGGGGGAAAATTCGCAAAGTTTCATGCTTGCAATAAATAAGTCGCATTTAATTTGATAATATATATTGCTGCGGTAATTACGGAAAGAGATAGCTGGAAGACACTTGATTGATAAAATTCTCCAATCCTTTTTTTCATTCTTCTATTCTCTCTTTTATATTTTCTTAATATCGAAGAAATTAGCTTCGTTTATTTCGCTTTGCATTTTTTTTTTGAAAGAAGTACGCAGCGAGCCAGATTTGGCACTCCTATTCCGATCCTGAGGTAGAAATGGAATCCGGGTGATTTATACAAATATGCATACGCGAAAGAAGTTTCTTTTACGTCAAAATTTGGAAAGTGGAGAATGTTTTGCCTCATAAGCGATACAGCGAAGCCAAAAATTAACTCGGTCAAGTTTTCGTCGATTATACGCCGTGTTTTGAGCCAGATCGAATTATTTCATCTAAAAACTCGGTAGAATCTATCGTTACAGGAACAAAAAATTTATAAATAAGATAAATCTTATTTGACGTCCAAACATTTTTCGCAGAGAAATAATATCTCAAAAATACTTGTCTTTAAAGGATTTGAAAAGTAGAAGAACGTCAGATACATTGCTTTTTCCCATCGTAACCGATTCTCGCTTAAATAATTTCATGCGTCAACGTTCTCGTCGAGCACGATCTTTCAGATACGCGAGGAAGAGAGAGTAAACCGTTTTTGCAATTCTGCTACGAATCTCGCGGGAGACAAAATAAAAACACAATCGCGTCTTAATTAAAATCCTGTACGTTTTAATTGCGGCCTTTAATGGGTCAACGAGAATAACGACCGGGTCAGAGAGCTCTCGATTTAATCGCGTCGCTTTAAAAGTGACACACACCGCACCGGCTGGAACGAGGCATATCCCCCGGAGTCCCTTATCTCTCGCGCGGTACATAGCCGCGATCCTACCAGGTGGTACCAATTCGGGGCCATCTCGCACGGGGGTCCGATGGGTGCCGCGCTATCTGGGTAGGGGGTATACACGTGAGCCTTCTCCATAGAGCGCGGAGCGCACCTCGCGCGGGCTCCCTCGTACATGTGTATGTGTATGTGTGCGTATGTGTGTGTACGCGGAGTCGTGAGTAGTGTTAACGGCCTTGCTTTATGTGGGTCATGAAACAAGGTCCCACCAGCACGGGGGGAGCCCGGGAGAACACGGCGCGCGCGTTTAACTTATGCTAGTAAAGACGAGCCGATACACACATACACACACGCACACACACGTGCGTGTATACGCACGCGGCATAAACGAGTCGCCGGCAACTTGCGCTAGCAACGCCGACATCGAGCGAAGGCTTTCTACCGAGAGCTGATGCCGCTGCACCTTTCCTCCGCGCCGATCGAAGCCCGACACGGTGATCGATCGTGGATCTGCGTAGATCCGATCTCGGCACACACCGCGGGAGAAAAGGAAATAGAGGGAGATTTACGGGCGGGCTTCCTCTTTTCCCCCCCTTCCGACGCACGCGGAAATTCTCTCCGCGCGAATTCCGCCGTAACGTAACGTCCACGCTCGCCACGTTCGGCAAACAGGATCTCGGACGTTATATAATGCGCTTCTAAGTATGTACATTCCGCTTATTTTTATTTCCTATTTTCGCGCAATAACGCGAAGTGGCGTTGATCGTCGCCGTTCTCTCATTTCTTTGGGAATTGCGCGAGTGAGATAAGGAGAGGAACCGCGAGATTTCGGACCAGAGAATGTTGTTTGGGATAGGAGCTTTTGGAAACTGCTTTCTTTTTTGGCGTTTGCACTTTGAAGTTTCATATTATTACACACTTGAATCCTATACTATTTGCGCTAATATAATTCACGACGTATACTTGTATGATTTATGCAAAAATTGCAAACAGTACAAATCAATTCAAATTTCCCTTCTTGATTAAAAATTTTATTTATTTAATTTAACATGAGATACGTGATATTAGTACCGTTAAATTAATAAATACATATTTGCAAAAAATTATTATTAATAATGCAATCGTATATTTTTGGTAATTAATACGCACATGTACGTATAACTGTCGCCTTTAAAAGATCAATATATTCATTAATTAGACGTGAATCGTATCTCCGCGTTGCGCACGCAGTTTAAATAGATAATACTCGAAAAAAATGCTTGGTTTTCGGAACGAGCGATTCGCCGCAGCGATCATTATTAATGATACGTCTTCGGGGCCTCGACGGGACCGGGAGG